TTCGAGCTGATTTTGCTGCTTAGCGGGAGAAGTCTTATGCTTGTGGTTTATTTTTGCCGAGTCATCTCGGAAAGTGAATCATTTCACCGATTATTTTATCTAGTTATCCTCTTTTTTCGTGACTTCAGTGCCGTTTCTCTCTTTCCTCTGACTCAATGATTCATTCTCAAACATTGTCTGTTTGGCGTAAAGCCCCCACATTTGGTCTGACCCCGGCTCCGTCTGCTCCCATTATTTTTCTAATCCCCTGCCTCCCATCACTCGCGATCACGAACCTCTGCCCTGCTGACCGCCAGAGCCGCCCTTCAGTGACCACTAATCCTGGCCTGCTCAGTTTCCGCTGATAGCGGCTCCCGTTAGAACATGGATCCTCTCCTCACATACCCCGGCCACTGCTGATCCCTGTTCTGAGAAGTGGCGGTAGTCCTGTACTAGCGTGTGGTAAGATCCACAGACTACCTGCGGCTCGCGGTTTGACCGATTCCAGTGATCTGATTCATATTGCACAATGGCAGCTGTGGTGTCCCATTTCAACCCTCCTTTCCATCATTTCATCTCTCTAAATGGCAGAAGAAGCGGATTTTTTTTTTAGAGTGAGATAAGTGTCTGCAAAATCTTACTTCCCATTTAGTTCTTATATGCGTGGCGTTAAAGATAATGACTAGTATAAGACTTCAATGCCCTCTCCTCCATCTAGATCCCCCAGCGTCCCTTTCGTTGAATAACCCTCAACATCTGCGTCTATTTTTCAGTAACATCGCCCGCGTTCAGCCCGGTGACCCACCAGCGGACCTACATCGACCCGCACACGTACGAGGACCCGAACCAGGCGATACGTGAGTTCGCCAGAGAGATCGACGCGTCTCACATCATCATCGAGGCGGTGATCGGCGGCGGCGAGTTCGGAGACGTCTGCAGGGGCAAACTCATGGTGAGTTGTGGGGAACTCATGGTGAGTTAGGGGAACTCGTGGTGAATAAGGGGAACTCATGGTATATTGATATTAATATCAATATACCATGAGTATATAAATAGTATGATATCCTATTTGATGATAATAGGAAACATATGGAAGATAAGAAACAAATTCTATACAGCATGTGGAAGTTAAGATATAGAAGGCAAAAAGAAAAAGAGCTCAATACTATCATGCACCCCATACCAACTCATAGCGCGATAGCTTAAGTACAGTTTAAAAGAATAGGAGGAGCCGTTGCAAAGGCAAATCCTCTAAACCATCATCATCATCATCATCATGGTGAGTTAGGGGAACTCATGGTGAGTTGTGGGAAACTCATGGTGAGTTGTGGGAAACTCATGGTGAGTTGGGGGAACTCATGGTGAGTTGTGGGAAACTCATGGTGAGCTAGGGCAAGGGATAATGTATGGTCGAAGGGTTCCCTCATTCGTCGATTTTCCTCCCGGTAGTCCGTCGTCTGGCTAGTGAATGTATTTTTATTTGTCCACATTCTACTTGGGTGCCTATTTGAGATTGGCCTGCCTGTCCTATTTTTAAATAATCTTGCAAACCATCTTGGTGCGATTTCCTGCAGTCTATTAATAGAATATGCACGTTTATTTTTAGGCTTATTTTATTGACTTTCCGTCTGTGATCTCAGAACACGGAAACAATGACATATCGTCATATCAGGTGGTCCACCCAATATCGACCAACCCCGGCCTAGCCTCACCAGGTGCACCCTATTTTCCCAGGATGTCACGGTAGCCATCAAGACCCTGAAGCCGGGCACCTCTGAGAAGGCCAAGGTTGACTTCCTCACCGAGGCGTCCATCATGGGCCAGTTCCAGCACCCGAACGTCATCTTCCTTCAGGGTGTGGTGACCAAGAGCAACCCGGTGATGATTATCACCGAGTTTATGGAGAACGGCAGCCTAGACACATTCCTCAAGGTGATGACAGCAGCGCGGTGGCGGGGGGGGGGGAGGGATGGTTGGTTGGGTGTGTGTTGGTGTGTTTTTTATGCCGTGAGGGGGCTCGAGTGACTGCTTGGGTCTGCCTTGGTGTGTGGGTTTATCAACTATCAAGTGTGAATGTGACAATGAAAGAAAGTCGGACAGGTGTTCTCATGATACGTCTGTCTTTGATCATCTGTTTGTTAAGTGATTTTCCACACCTACTGTCAATTGTGCAACAACCTATTTTTAGCCTCGCGAGTTTTCCCGATAGGTATAATTGACCGATATCATCCCCTTTCTGACAGCTCATTCCATTCCCGGTTTCTGACACCCCTCTCCCCGCTCTGCGACAGGCGAACGACGGCCAGTTCCAGATTCTGCAGCTGGTCGCCATGCTGCGCTGCGTGGCCTCGGGCATGCAGTACCTTTCCGAGATGAACTACGTGCATCGGGACCTGGCCGCCCGCAATGTGCTGGTCAACGCTCAGCTGGTCTGCAAGATCGCCGACTTTGGACTGAGCCGGGAGATCGAAGCGTCCAAGGAGGGCGCCTACACAACGCGGGTCAGTCGGGGGCGGGGATGTGAGGGCGGGGGTGGGGGGGGGTGAAGGGATTGGACGAGTGGGATGAAGGAGGGGGCTGTTTGTGTTAGTTGGGGAGACCAGTGTAGATGGATGATTTAGGATTCTTACAGGAGTTTCTTCAGCCTCGTGTTTGCTGTTGATAAATAAGTTGGCAGCATTTCGGCATGCTTTGGCGTATGCCATGACATTTCCTGTAAAAAATCCTCGAATTCATTGTTTTTATGATACATTATTTCACCTACCATTGATAAGTTGTCAGTTATTTTATTTACAAATTGTTCAATCTTTAGTAAAGTAATCTTGGCTCCATCTGTCCTCACCCTCACACTATCTGTCTCCGCAGGGCGGTAAGATCCCGGTACGGTGGACGGCCCCGGAGGCCATCGCCTTCCGCAAGTTCACCTCCACGTCTGACGTGTGGAGCTTCGGTATCGTGGCGTGGGAGGTGATGTCGTACGGAGAGCGGCCCTACTGGAACTGGAGCAATCAGGACGTCATCAAGAGCATAGAGAAGGGCTACAGGTGAGGATGGGAGGAGTTGGGAGGGATGATGCTGTGGGGTCCGCCCTTATCCAGGATAAGGGTGAGATGTGGGCACATGCAGAGATGTTCACTAGACATGGCTGAGAGAATGCGTGCCGAACAGGTGTAACGTGCATTATAGATCAATTACTGACCATTTTGATGTAAAAATGAAAATGGCATCACATGAATGAGTTTGAATCCGTTTCAAATAATGAATTCCTGAATGAATTCCTGAATTGAGACCGAACGTATCGATGAATGGGAACTAAATTTATTGCGTTGTTCACCAACGAATAAATCGCTTCGCGCAAAGATATTCATATCCGTGTAAATCATCGAATGAATGAATGAATGAATGAATGAATGAATGAATTAAGCAGCACCCGTTATCTTCAATCACCGATCGAGCGGTTGTATAACCTCTCCCGTCTCTGTGCCTGGTGCAGGCTGCCGGCGCCGATGGACTGCCCGGAGGCGCTGCACCAGCTGATGCTGGACTGCTGGCAGAAGGAGCGCGCCCACCGGCCGCCCTTCGCCAGCATCGTGCGCACGCTCGACAGCCTCATCAACTGTCCCGAGACGCTGCGCAAGGTGGCACCCAACAGGCGAGTCTATGACGCGGGGAGTTGGAAAGTGTCAGCGAGCGGTGTTGACAGTGGGTGTGGAGGATTATCGAAGTAGACACGGCACCCGTCAGCTTGTTTTGATGTTAGGCGAAACGCCCTGTGGTGTGTTTCTCGTATGTGAGCTCCCTGTGGTGGAGCTTTCTTGTATGACCTCCCCTGTTGTACCGGCTCGCTGTGACCGCCCTGTATGTGGCGAGGTTTCCCGATATGTAACCTCCCCTATTTCACCACGTTGGCGCTGGAACGTTCTGTGTTGCTGTTCCCTATGTGTGACCTCCCCGTGTTCCGCCACAGGAGCGCCGGCTCGCTGTGGCCGCCGGCCGCCGACCCGGCCACCCTCACCAGTCTGGAGGCCTGGCTGGCCTCCATCAAAATGAGCCGCTACCTGGAGAACCTGCAGCGCGCCGGAGTCACATCGCTGGACGCGGCGGCGCGGCTCACCGAGCCAGACCTGGTCGCCGTCGGCGTCACGCTGGTCGGACACCAGAAGAAGATGGCGCAGGCCATCGCCTCGCTGCGGCTCCAGGTCCGGACGCACCGGGCCGACGCGTGTTTCGTGTAGCGGCCGCGGGCGGCGCCACTGCAGCGGTGGCGGTGAGGTGCCCGCCGGACGGCGGTGTGATTTGGCTGTTGGACGCTGGACTGGCGCGGCGCGGCTGTGTGTTGTTGGCCGTTGGAGACCAGTGTGGGGCGGCGCGGCCGCCGGTGTGATCACGGTGCAGCGGGGCGGCCCGGAGACGGCGCCCCGCGCCCCGTGGTTCTGTGATAGCCGCCGGGACGAGCCGGGCCCGCGTCGTTGCTGTTAAGCATACCTGATACTCATCCAGTGTTGGTCATATGTGCCTGTGAACCATTCCATTGTGCGCGCTCGTCTCACCATTGCATTTCCTCGGCTGCCGCTGTCGTGTGATATATGTAGACCGCTTTTATAGAAACACGTGTGATCGAGAGGATCGAGCGAGCTGCATTTTTATTACGAGCGGAATATTTTCTCTCCATTTGGGGATTTAGTTTTAGCATTGAGAGCCGTATGCGCGTTTGGTTTGTTTTTGTATGGCTGTGTTCGTGAGAGGCGACAACCGGACGGTGATTTTGTTTTACTCGTACCGCCTCGTACGTTATGGTTTGCGGTCTTTCCACCCGATAACCGAGAGGTTCCGTTGGTGTCATGATTTCGCTCTCTTTTACAGTATCATGATTATCGTTGGAATAAATTATTCGATCCGGTTCGTTATTGCATCTATGACTGCTGAAGATGTCTGCACACTGCACAAGTTTTATGATGCAATGGAACTCGAGGGAATGTAAGGGGGTCAGTATGAGAATGAACACTGAAAAAAAAACTAGCAAATATCAAAGCCGCTGTAATTAGCATCAATAACGATCAATACGTATATCACAATACATAGGCGGGAAAGCAAGTCTACAGGGTGTCTCAAAAGTTCGTTCACACATTTCCCATGCCAATAAAGCATATAAGAACCGGCCAAAAGTATAAGGTTTTGGTGTCTGTGTGTACACTAGACAAATATGCATGCTTTGACAACTGATTAAGAAGGTTGGAAACCAACTTCTTTGCTGTATCCCCAAAAATATTTGCCCATACCGATTTTTGTTGCTCCGTCAGCTGCCGGAGGCTGATAAAAGGTTACCAGCTTTCAAGCTCTTGCAGGGGAATCCCCTGCAGTTTCTGCGTCGGATTTAGTTTTGACTAGCTCCCCGGCAACATCTGATTTTCCCTGAAAGCCGACAGCTTGCATCGACACCATTCTTGAGTATTTTGTAGGCATTCTCTGGCGCTAACTCCTTCATGAATGACTGGCGCCGACATCCCAAGCGCCATTTTCCTTTTCAAAACGACCCCAGTCCTGAACAAACGGGAAGTACCAGGAGTAAATTTTTCGCATCATATGGTAGCAGAATGTGTCGGACGTCTGTTTCTCAGACACATTGTGCAAATTTTGCAAATTCCAAGCGCTCGTCATTCCCCATGCCAAGACCTTCGCTCGGTTGCGGAGTGTTTTCCTCGGGAGATGTTCTGCTTTGTAAACGGCCCAAACCTGTCCATCGTGTGGTTTTATCGGGATTTTGTGTTTAAAAGAAAATTATTCGCTGCAGATCTGCCTCTTGAAACTTCGTTAGATAAAATTTTACAATAACTGACACTTTTGGAGGGTCAGGTGTCCTTGGCATTGACGATTTTTGTGTTATTGTCCCCAAAAATTAGCGTTATAGATATTATAAACAATTTTAAATTATAATTTGTCTTTATTTTACGATGACCTGCACTTTTTGAAAATGGGTAACCTCTGTCTGTGACCTTCTTGCCAGTTTTCAATAGTTATGACCGCATTTTCAGCTGCTTTCCGGAACACCAGTCTGCTGTCGTGCGAGGGTCGTTCAAAACGCCGTTAGTCTCGCATGGTTTCGTCCTTCAAAAATTTTAGCCACCGTTTTTATGAGATGATCATCATGTTGCACTCATCCTCGCCGACACTTAGCCATGTGTCATTTCCGACTTAACCATTCCCATTACTCCTGAAACCGAGAGTTTCACAACATACCCGACTTTGCAACCTACATTTTCGTGCCTGACCCATGGTCAGAGGTGAACCCTTTTTGTGAGCTCATGAAGGGTCGAATGCACTTGAAAACAATGGGACTGCTTGAGGAAGGTTGTCACCAATGCCCATGCAAAATTTCGACCGTTAATTTCTTGTTGATTCAGAATTATTGACAAAAAAGCATGGCTGGTACCTGTGAACGAACTTTTGAGACACCCTGTATACCCCTGCCCAATGTTCACGACATGCACCATTAATCAGTACTCTGAACAATCGCAACGAATTTCCCGGCACATCGCCGCAGTACACATTAAAAACGCCAGTCTGAGCTATGAACAATCGATTCACTAACTCGAAGCTGGCAGCATCACACGATTCCACGGCTCGCCTCCCAGTGAACCTGGCTCATATCGGATCGGATCCACAACCTAAGGCCGCCGTCGGAACCTGAGGGCACCGTGCCCACCTCTGAGACCAGTGTGTGTGGGTGGGGGCCGCCTAGGCCTCAGCGGCCGGCGTCGGGCCGAGACTGACGGCTCCGATGGGCAGGTAGAAGCCGTCCTCTGCCGGTGTGTGTCGCTGAACCACCTCCAGCTGCTCCACCTTCACCGTACCAAAGTCAAACTCCTTCAGCTCCTGCAGTAGGCACAGGTTAGTCAGCTGGAGTGTGTAGAAATCGGATACAGCGTTTACAGACTGTCATTGAATCGTCTACAGATGGCTGCGCTACGGTTAGATGTTGCCCCTTGGAAACAGAAAACGATAAACAGAACAGATCAGAAAACAATTAACCAGCTAGATCATACTTTACCTGTGCACTTGTAAGCCACGTCACATTACAACATCATATCACATCTGAAAGTCAAATGAATGAATGTGCCCTAAGGCGAAGCCATATGAATTTCGCCATGGCCACAATACCCAGCCCCGTCCAGCTAAATATCGTACCTTCATGATCGCGGTGGCATCAAAGGTGGACTTTCGCAGCTTTGCATACTCGGGAGACGACTCGTCCATGTTTTTCACCAGGAATGACACGTTCATGACGGTACAGTGCAGCTTGACGTGGTCATACTCCTTCTTTGATAGACCTGGTGGGAAGGTAAGACACGGAGGCGGTTAGATTTCGAGAAATATGCCCAAAAAACAGTCAGAAAAAGAACGGTGAAAGTAAAAAATGCTACCGGAACAGCATGAAATTAGGCGCACACCCACAACGCTATGTTACTTTGAAGTTGGAAATGTGCCATAGTTAGTAATGGGTGGAGACTTCCATTGGCGTCCAACTGGCGTCTAACTGAGCAGGCGTCCAAGTTGGCGTCTTACTTGGCGTCTAACTGTTGACCGGAGACTTCCAAGCTAGACGCATCTCAATCTAGAGTAAGCTGTCGCCAGCTAGACGCAGCCGCCGTCCAGCTAGACGCGTCTAAGACTTAGACGCGTCTAGCTAGTCGCGAAATGGAAATCTCCACCCAAATGTCACAACAGCTCACTTCGTAGTTCGTACCTAACACTGCTTTGTGTATATTATGATATGAACCATACCTTTCTGGCCTACAATATCAATTAAATCCGGCTAGCCTTCCTCTCCTCAAGCCTCGACAAGGTCAGAGGTCAGATTCCCGATATTTTAACTTCCGCTCCTTCCTCCCTTTCTTTCCCTTCCTCCCGCGTAACTTACCGGTTCCGTAGGCGAGCTCCATGCAGCGGTCTGCCAGCCGCTGCATGGCACCACTGCCGTCACCCTCGTGCACGCGCGCAAACACCACGCGCGCCTCGCTCTCGTCGTCGTTCATAATGTCGAGCTGGCGCACCCGCAGGGAGAGTCCAGACGGCGGCAGCATACCCCTGGCCGGCAGAGGCTGGGACAGTCAGGTGGATGGGAGTGCCAGCTTAGGTGTTGCGTTGGTCAACTTGTGGGGTAACGTTATTGGCGCATCCTGACAAGTCGAAACCCACCCACGAATGAAGTCGAATTACAAATTAAAAAGGCAAATATTTTTCCATCATCCACCATAAGTTTGCCATCAGAACAATGGGCATCATCCTCTCCAGTCTTCGTTCTCTCTCCTGATCCTGCCACATCACCAACCTAACCACCACCCCTTAAACATACCCCAAGTGCGTGTATGAGTTATAACCGATGACCCTCCCTCCCCCCAAGACACATACCTCAGCTCGTCGGCGTGGTTGTTGAGTGCGCGGCAGAAGGCAGTCCTCTCCGAGTCACTGAGCAGCGTGGCCATGACCAGGGTCAGGTGGAGGCGGCGTCCGTCCTGGAACAGCTCGGGGCGCACGCCGCGGCTCTCGGCGGCCACCTCCAGCGCAGACTTCTGCCGGGGTGAAAAGGGGAGGCGTCAGGCGGTGGCTACTGGGAAATGCAGTGTAATTAGATGGACGACATAGTTAGTCATGGAAAGGGTACATGTTACCATCAAAATCTATATAACTATTTGTAGGGTATTATGGTTAGTTACCATGATATGATGCTTATGTTACGTTACTACAATATGTTACCAATTACCATGATACATTTCTACGATACATTACTACGAGACGTAACTACGATGGGTGACAGTGATACGTTACAACGAATTACGAAACGTCACTTCGATACTTGCCTATGATACGTTACTGCGATAGAACGTCACTTCGATACGTTCCTATAAATTATGATACATTACTATGAAATAATTTGGTTAAAGGAAATAGTTCACTTTCACGAAATTATTTTTTTTGCAACGGATTTATGATTTTTTATGTTCAAAATAATCAGCAAAGAAAATAAAACCTTTTTATAACAAAAGATTATTTTCTATATTTTGATATAGGAAGAACTTTTCAGTTTCTGTAAGGCACACGCGATCCAGTATGAAAAGAGCATGGGTCCCGAAAATTCTTCAGAAACAGAGAAATTATCGCAGCCACCGGCATTTGGGCGATCTGCTCGATCTGATAATGTTCCCCTGAATGTCCTAATTGATCAGTACGAGAATTTCTCTAGAGTTCTCGTAGATAATTTCTCTAGTTTCTGAAGAATTTTCGGGACCCATGCTCTTTTCATACTGGATGGAAATATATGCAAGGCACACATCCTCAACGCAAGACACCTTTTTCGGGACGAGAAATAGAATATCTTTGCCTAGGGTGATCGTTGGGCTGTAAAAGCTCCTGATTTATGCTCGTCTCAGCCCAAGCTACGGAACTGCTATTCCAGTTCAAAACCCATGTTAAAAAGTGAACTATTTCCTTTAAATAATGACATTATATCGTCACAGTACTATGACGTCAGTGTCGCACCACCGACCTTGAACGTCTCCATCCTGTTCTGGACGTGCTGTGTGGTCAGCCGGACGGCGATGAAGTGTGAGGGTGTCAGCGTCTGCCGTCCGCGGTCGGCCGACATGAGTAGCATGTTACAGGCGCGCACCACCGCGCGCCGCTGCTCGCCAATCACCTCTGAGGAACGGGAGAGAGGGGAGGGGAGGTCAGAGGGGCTACAGGCGCGCACCACCGCGCGCCGCTGGTCGCCAATCACCTCTGAGACGGGAGGGAGGGGAGGGGAGGTCAGAGGGAGGGAGTCCCCATGCACAGAAAATGTGGCAGGCAGTGTTTGCTGGAGGAATGGAAGAAGTCTGCTGTTTGAAAAAGGACGGTTCATGCAGACACGGTGTCAGCGGTGTCTACCGAAACCGAACGACCGAACTCTTAAAAATCGGGAAGAAATCGGAATATTACGCCAAAAACGCTTATACTAAAACAAACATTTGCAGTCCTTGTATCGAAGCTCTTAACAATAGCGGGAAATACAACACAGATTCATACTCAGTACAGTACATGCACGACGTAAAACTCGTGAGCGAGTTTACTGCCACTGACCGACGGTGGCTGGCTTGGTGCGCGGCCCGGCACCTTTTGGAACGGTCACCTTGCAGCCGGTGTTGTCTCTCACCAGCCGCAGAGAGTTGCCCTTACGGCCGATCAGAAATCCGTACAGGGCGCTGTGGGGCACACGGAGGTGAGGAGGGGAAGCACCTGTTGTCTGCTTGAGAAAATGAGGGGAAGCATTGGGTGATCGCAGTCGCGAGTAAAATTGGAGATAGGGGCATCCTGAGTATGGTGCTAAATTTATCACAAACGAATTGATTTTGTTGACCTTTGGTGGTCAACATGGGTTATATAGTCTGGGAAAAACTATAGCACATACCTGGGTATGTCTAGCTCTGCCTTGTACTTGCCCTTCCACTCCTCAATTTTTACAGCAGAGGACATCACCTCTTCTGTTTCTGTATCCTCATCACCTGTGAAACAAATGCAGCCATTAGGCAAAACACAACATACCTATACATGGCAACTGGTGTACCAGCCAATGGGCCATCACTGATCATGAGTGGCCTGAACTTACTCAATCTTAACTTACGAGGACCACTGCTAACTTACATTTCGTTGGACCACAACATCCAGCACTTCCACTCATCTTACCACGAATAAAGTCCTCAGGGTCCTCATCCTGATGGGCGGCCTGCTGGGAGTGAGAGACCCTGTAGCAGGCACCATCCACCCATACCAGATTAGGCCTCAGCACATCCATTACTTAGCAGGCCCTGCAAAGGTGAGAAAGCACTTGTCACGTCACTTGTCAGTGATACACAAAGCATAACTGGTAGTAGTAAAGCAGGCATCAGTATCACACTTGCTTTTTCTGACCCAGGAGAGGTGCCGTAGGTTAGGTTGCAGGTGATTAAGACACCTCTCCTTGGTTGGAAAAACAAATGTGACACTTAAGCTTTACCACTACCGCATCACTTGCGCATCACTTAGGGTTGTCAATGAGCGGTCAGCAGGCCAAATAATCTGGACGGAATAATGGAAAATACACTCTTCTGAGTTCTGCTCCTTAGGACATTTTCAAGTTGCTATCCTTCTAAGCTCATAAAAGGCCTTATTGTTATTGTTAGGTATAGGCATGCATGATAAGAGCAGATTTACCTAATTGAACATTTACAGGCAACAATCAAATCACAGACGCAGGCAGCCGGCAGGTATTACAATGCAAGAATGAGAACCAAAAGGCAACCAAAAAGGCAGAAACTATAAAAAAAACAGCCTACAACGTTATTTAGTAGTTCTGCAGCGCAGCCTACTGCCTATTGGCTCAGTGGCTCAATAGGCTGGGATGAACAGCTGATTTTGGTTCCAAGTTCCAAAAAGCTTTTGATGATGACGCCATTGAAATGAAGAGTTTGTAATCTTTTGTTATAGATAAAGCATGGGTGAAACTTTGACATCACCATTGGGGTCCCAAACGTCCAAGGGGGCCTCCATTTAGTGGGGGCCTCCAAGCAATTAGGGGCCTCCAATTGCGGAAGCGGTAATTTACGAGCCACGCCAGGGCCTCCTCTAAGAAATTTTCATTGGGGGACCAGAGGCTCAGAAGCCAAACATGGGGTACCCCCAAATCCAGTTTTCTCATCGGATTTAGGCCACTTATTTTTCGTCACAGCTCTGATGCCATGATTTTTTTTTTTAATATCGATAAAGAAATGGTAGGTCACCTGACCCTACTGGTGGATCCAGGCCAGCAGGGTGACATTGTATGTAAATATCCCCCGCGGCATCCGAAATCGACGAAAATTTCTGGCTTTTTCACTTTTGACAATAAAACACAATGCCTTTATAATAGAAAAAAATTAACGGCACAGCATTGCGCAAGGAATCTAGCCGTAAGCCGACCCCAGAAAGTGTGAGGGTTAACCTTCGCCGGCACCTGGGGGGAGGGTCGCCACCCCCAAGTTAGTTTTTCTGCTCTACACTTAACATTTTTAAAGCTAGAAACCTGATTTTCTTTGTATAGCTGCTTTTCTATCTTTTCTCAGCGTCCATTGAAAATTTCAAGCTTCTGCGGCATTTGGGTTTGGAGATATGACCTTGTTCTTCAGGTCATGTCATGTCCTAAATGACGAATACCCAATATCTTGCGATGGCTATGGGCCTTGTGAGCTTTTGACACGCTGATTTCGGCTTTTTTTTGCCAGTCTTACCTCCCACCTATCATTGAACATGTTGTTCTGCGATGTACAGATGTCAGAGTCAGGGTCAAGGTCAACCTAGGTCATCTAAAATTATTGCGCTTTAGGCAAGCTGAATTTACTTTTCGTGAAGTTTCTTTGACTGTATGTTTAGTAAAAGCTTCTCAGTTCATGATCAAGTGTAATAGGGACACACAAACCGATCTGTGCACACATCAGTACATAAACAGACATACACAGACATACAAACACATATCATTGACCTTGACCTAACTTGACGTGAAATGACCACAGCCAGCAAATTAGTCGGATAGTGTGACAAAGAGCTGTTCTAGCTCGCTTGGCACTAATACGGCAGCGTCATCGGTATATGATGGGTTGGCCCGCTGCTTGTGTAGGTATCTTATTCGACATCACCACAATTTTTTCTTACAAGATTTTAAGCCTTGCGGTCAAGAGCAACAGATTCTTTGGGAAGTGACGAATCCAATGATACCAATTTTACCTCATCAGGTCAGTCATTGACCTTCCAGGTCAGGTCAAACTAAAGAATGTTGCTGTTTGGGGTCACCGTTGCCCGTTGGAATATCACGTGCGCTGCTCATCATGTACCGATGACGCTGCCGTATTGTGGTGCCAAGCCAGCTAGAACCTCTTTGTCACACTATCCGACTAGGTTTTTGCTGGCTGTGGTCATTTCAGGTCAAGCTAGCTCAAGGTCAATGACATGTGTTTGTATGTCTGTGTGTGTCTGTGTGTACGAGTATACTGATGTGTGCACCGACTGTGAATGTGTCCATATTACATGAGATCATGAACTGAGAAGCTTTTGCCAAAAATACAGTCAAAGAAACTTCACGAAAGTAAATTCAGCTTGCCTAAAACGCAATATTTTTAGACGACCTAGGTTGACCTTGACCCTGACCCTGGCACCTCTACATCATTGAACAACATGTTCCATGATAGGTGGGAGGTAAGACTGACAAAAAAGGCCGAAATCAAGGTGTCAAAAGCTCACAAGACCCAACGCCAACGCAAGATATTGGGTATTTGTCATTTGGTTATGACATTACCTGAAGAATAAGGTCATATCTCCGAAACCAAAAACCACAGAAACTTGAAATTTTCAGTGGACGCTAAAAAAGGATAGAGCAGCAGCTATACGAAATATCCGACTTCTAGCAATCAAAATGTTTAGTGCAGAGCAGAAAAAAACTACCTAGGTCGGGGTGGGGGGGGGGGGTGGCAACCACTGCCCCCCCCCCCCCCCACCATGTGCGGACGAGGATTACCTAAGTAATTTGAATATCAGGAAAATAATTTATTAAATCAGGTATTCCAACAGAGTCCCGCTTTTTTATAGGTGACCTCCGATTTGTGTTGCATCTAAGTTACCCAGGGGGCCTTTTTTGTAATTGTAGGTACAGTACAGAGAGCCTCCTACTTATACTACTTGCACAGAGAGCCTCCTAGCGTACATACGGCTAAGCTTCTACAGCGCCGGTCTCTTGTACGTACAGAGACCCTCCTACTGTTACAGAGGGCCTCCTGTTTGTCTAGGGGGCCTCCTATTGGTTAACGGCGCCTCCTATTTGTCCAAGCGGCCTCCTATTCGTCTATGGGACCTCCTATTTGTCCAGGAGGCCTCCTGTTTCTCCAGAAGGTCCCCTATTTATCCAGGGGGCTTCTATTTTCCAGGGGGCCTCCTCTTTATCTAGGGGGCCTCCTACGTGTTCAGGGGCCTCCTATTTGTCCAGGGGCCTCCTATTTATCCAGGGGTCTTTTATTCGACTAGGAGTCTCATATTTGTGCAGGGGCCTCCTATTTGTCCAAGGGTCTCCTACTTGTCCCGGGGCCTCCTTTTTTTTAAAGGAAAAGTGCCACCTTCTTGAAATATGAAGATATCGTTGGTTTTTATTTTGACATTATTATTTTCCATTTTCTTTTCAAAACCGGTGCCAGAAGTGCATAATTCGCTAAAAAGTATTTCAAACTATTTAACATATTGGTACTATGTTTATACTCTCTACCGCAGCTACTGTATGATGTCATAGCAATGACGTCACACTCAAGCCAATCAGCCTTGAGGAGGATAGACTCGTCGGACTGTAGCGGTTGTAAACAACTTGTCGCCCCGTAGCCCTGATCGGCGGCCGGCTAGTACTCTTGCCCGCGCTCACATACGTGCACGTTACCCCGGCAACGGGCTATTGACCAATGAGAAGCGAGAAAAGTGTTACGTCACTGCGATTTTTCATGTACCTGTGCCCCCCGGACGTGACGTAGTGTGCTCGCGTGCGTGCAGGGTCTCTGCGATCGAAAAAGAGCGCTAGCAGCGCGCCACTCGACGCCGCAATTGTCAAAAGCGGCGTGTTAGTATGCTTTATTATGAATGATGTGTGTAAAAGTGAGTTTTTATGTTGTTTATTTGGAGGAAATGGTTGGTATAAATTAAGTTATTTTTATTTCTGTTGATTTGAGTTTTTATTCAAAAGATTTCGGTCTATACCATTTATATTTACTGAAAATACCTTCGCTTGAATAAATTGCAGATATTTGGCAACTGAAGTGTTAGGTAAGCCTAAATGATATGTAAAAAGGTAAGAGACACCCTGATTATCATTTGAGAAACGAAAATATATGAATTTTCCTTATAAGGCTCGCTCAATATGCTACTCCGCGGTTTATGCCCCGAGGGTGTCCGAGGCTATAGATGGCCTTGGTCCGAGGGTTCCCGTTAGTTTGTCGTTGGCGCTCGGCTCGCGCGCGAGCCGACGTCACCGCCTGTGACGTCGGCTCGCGAAATACGTCATACCCTGCACACAAAATAGCCGGCTGCCGAACAGCGCTCGTGTGTCTGCCCGTGGCGCCGGTTATCTGTCGAAGGTAAGGGTGAAAGATGGATATAATGGCCATGGAACGCTATTTTAGGATTATTGGTGAATAGCAAGAATATAGTTTTGGTGGTTTGAAATTGTTTGTCCTCAGTTGTTGTTGTTGTTGAAGAGTTAGGGCGCGCAGGTTTGTCCTCAGTGATTGGCTTGATTCTCATTTTGCGGCATAAGCGGCTGTTTGGTTACATTGCATTTTTTTATGATTGTGTAATTATTATGATTATGTTCCTCCAAAGTAGGCATCACATATCAATCTCAAAGGCAGATCATCTTCTTTTCATGCCTATAATTTTCTTCAAGAATATTAATAAAAAATATTCCATTTACCCCTGCCTATCATATATCCCATGGAGCTGCCAGTGGAAGTAGGCATGCAATGTGACCTAGCATTGGCGATGTGGTTAATTAGCTTTAAAGTACTATGGAATGCTAAAGGTCATCATTTAGAATGGTTTTCAAAACATTCCACTAGGAAATATTCATTGAAACCTGAAAATTACTTACAAAATGTAAATGTATAGCCACGTCTCAAGAGCATTCAGCCGTCTTCTCAGTAAATATATAATGAAACATAATCTTACCTGACCTAGCCTTACCTACAACCTACAACGTACGGCATTGGTAAAGCTGGCATCACTGTCAGCGTATATTAGTTTGGTAGGTTGTGGGTAGGTAGGTTGCAGGTCAGTAGGTAAGGTTAGGTTAGGTTAGATTGTTTTTAAGATTCCTTTTATCTACACATTTACCGGTTAGCGCTGACGGTGACACCAGCTTTACCGATACCCAACCTACCACCTACAACCTACAACCTAAAACCTACATTCAATGGTGGCGGGTGGTGATAATTGTTATACCTATATGATAATACTGGAGATAAATACCATACAGATTAGCTGGTATCCATGACACACTTTCTTAAGAAGAAGGTCTTCTATTAAATCATGTCTATTTTATAGGAATGAAATGATTTTTGTTGTAGTCACATTCCCTACTCTGACCATCATGTCTGATTATTTCCAGTTACCACTGACAATGCCCAAAACAAGAACAACAAAGGCCCAAAGGTGGCTGTTTGGTAGTGCGCAAAGCTGCTGGTAAGTGGCATCAAAGGATAGGATGTTGTTGTTGTTATGGGTTAGGGCGCGTAGCAACTTGGCTCTTGCGTCCAACATCAAAGGATAGGATGTGCTTTGTTATTTCCAGGCACGTAGCCAGGATTTTGCTCAGGGGGGGGGGGGGTCACAGGTTGTGGCCTAGTGTTGTACCCCCTCCAAAAAAGGAAAATTTCTCTGATTAGGCCCACTATTTTGGGGGGGTGTCACAGCTGTTTTTATTTTTTAAAAAATCGCCATCACCGAGGGGGGAAGGGGCACGAGGGCATGGCTCCCGTGCCCCTCCCCTCTCCTTGGTTACGTCCCTGGTTATTTCTGAGAGTTTGGATATCACAAAGCTTTAGATATAAATTAAAATGTAATAAGAAGCTTTCAGCATTGCACCTTTCCAGACACTGATAATTCATTTGCATTTATTGTTTCAAAAGTCAATTTTCAACACAAAAAAAGTTGAAATTATTAACTCAAATAATTGCAAATATATACTTTGGTAGTTTGCCTTTCGCATCACTATCAACAAAATAATCAAGGGTGACTAAATATGAAATGTTCCTGCATGATCTTCATCGTGAACAATTGTCAAGGTATGATGTTTGCGTGTTGAAATGTTATAAAGAACTTATGTCATAAAAACACAACTTGTAAAATTGTGTCTTTCCATATTATTCTGCAAGTAAGCCTTGGAAGGAAGAGACACTATTCCGTCCTACAGAAGCCATTGAGAAATGTGTGACATGTTCAGCACTTTGAGTCAGTCGGTGCCCGGACCTCAGTCGGCTGTATGACCGTCTCCTCGTCCTCTTTTGTCGGCTCCGCCCCGTGCTGTTCTATAAGGGTGTCTGACCCGCTGCCGCTATCCCCACTGTGAGGTCTGACCCGCCGCGCGCTGTCACCACTGTCGGCCCTCTGTGTGCGCGGCAGGTGGTGGTGGACGTCTCTGCCCTGACGCGCGGCGTGCGTCTGCTCAGTGTGGAGGTGCCGCTGACAGCGGTGCCGGCCGGACCGGCTGCCTCTCCGGCGGCCGACATTGAGCGCGGCACGTGTCCGCCGCCGTTCGGGCCGCTGCAGCTGCTGCAGTCGGCGGCGCAGCTGTCCGTCTCCGTGTCGCTGGCCGTGCCGCTGGACCTGCTGCCGCGGCCGGCGCCGGCGCGCTGCGCCTACGGCCGCCTGCTGGCCGTCGTCTCGCAGCGCGGCCTGCAGCGCAGCGGCGTGCTGCAGCTCATCCAGCAGCTCAACGAGCCGCCCAGCCCGGCGGCGGCCGAGGGCGCCGCGCCGCGCCGGCCCGGCGACGTCAGCACACCTGGCATCAGCGGCTTCTGCCTGTCCGACCGTCAGCTGCACCTGCTGTTCGCCGAGGGGCGCGCCGACGCCGAGCTGGAACAGACGGCGGCCGCGCCGCGCGCTCTGCCGCGCCGCGACACTCGACTCTGCCACCACTCGGGCCTACTGTTACGCCGTCCGCGCCATCAGAGAGTGCTTCCGCACGCAGTGGCTGTCGGAAAATGAACCTGCTTCCCAACGAGGCCGGCCTGCAACAACTGCTGGCCGGCTGTTGGCCGAAAAAAAAACGCCTTCAACCGGATGTCAGTTGTCAAATCAACGCGTATTAATGCATTCACTAGGATGGGCTTACGTAAAGCTGTAGAATTGCAAATATATAATGGCACTGTTTTTGATCCGTTCGGTATGCATTGGTATCATATGATCTCTCATTCACAGACGATCAGCTGCGAAGACCCAGATCCGTAGTAGAGGGCTCATCGAGTCCGGGTCCAGCTCCCCGTACTTCCTCCACTTTGGAAACACCGCAGCGCAGATCACAGTTATACATAATATTTAGTTTTCATTCACTTCATAACCGAAGGTTGTTTGATAGGTGACATGCTGCTTGAGTTGCACCCCGGTATATCAATACGAAGCTTCCGTCCCTGCCACATACCAGTGAAGGAGGCGGCGGCGGCGGCGGCCGGGGCCGGGCTGCCCTGCCCACCGACACAGTCTGTGAAATGCCCCAACAACCTTTAAAATTCAACAGGCTTCATAAATGTTTTTTTGCACCATATTTTCTCGCGTACATGAAAGCTCTAAAATGTACAATATTCCTTTCAGCCACAAGCGATATAAAAGCTCTACAAAACGTCATGTCTCTGTGTGCAAGAAAGACACATATATTGTGTATAATCGAGCGTACATGATCTGCAGCGCTGCGGAGGGCTGCTCGGTTGCCGCTTTTTACCAGTCGGCTCTAGGTCGGACATATGGGTAAACAAAATGGAATAGTAATATTAAACAATGCTACCTGCTGATGCTACTGGGCCTCTCATTGGTGAAGAACTGGCAGCCAGCCAGCGTGTTTTTGTGAGAACTGTTTTAACAGCAGCAACCGAACGGCTCTCGGGCCAGCGACCAGTGAGCGTAGACAGCACAGCGCTCCGTTAGGCATCGGCGGGCAAGCACGCATTAGCTGTGGACGGACCGGCCGCCCGAACATATTTGTCGGTATCGAAAGTATCGTGAACCAAATGACTGCTAGCGAAAAAAGGACTGCCTCTCGTATCCATGAAAACATGTGTTCTACAAAAGTACATAATTGCTTAGTTGTCGCCAGTCACTCATTGCACCATGGCGTCAGTGTGGGGCCGCGCCCCGAATCATCTCAATCGCCAGGCAAAGCATCTCAATCGACAGGCACATGGTAGTCCAGCTACGAATCCGAGCCGCGGCATCCCGTCTATGTATCTACATTACACCACAATCGAACACTGTCGGGCCACCCGAGACAGCAGTCTCCAATGTAACATCAAAACCCGCCACTCGTCTAATATCAGAAAAATGAGCATTGAGTACCTACCGAATATCGACTACAGAAGATTACAATGGGGTGCAGATCTAGCAAGAGTGTCGCGGTTCGTCTCGGCACGGCTTACAGGCCGCCGAGCCCGCGCAGGTGACCGCCAGCTCCACCTGTTCCACCTCCGGCGCGGAAGCTCGATCACAAGACTGACCTCAGTCGGCGCTCTGTGCTCGGCACAGGGCGACCGGGTCAGGAGCGGGCCGCTGCCGCCAGGGCCGCGGCCACCAGCCACGCGGCAGCGCCCGCGCACCGGCCGCCACCACCCGCTCAGCCCAGATGCGCGCCACGGCGTCATTGGGGCTTCCCTGAGCAGGATCGAACCAGAGCTGCATGCACGGCTCCGTATCCGCCGTGAACTTCCACGAGTGATCCCACACCTGAAAAAGGCGCACGGTTTGCGTCACAGCTCGGCTCACTTTCACAGTCCACGCACCGGCAGCAATTAAGGGCTACTTAGATAGTGTGCTAATAGAGCGCAATCACTTAGCTTAATCCATATAGTCAACCATGAATTGTTAATTACGAGCGAGCGAGCGAAGCGAAGTCTTTTCAATATCAAGGAAAAAGCTCAGTATGAGCGGCCCGACCCGGCCCGGCCTGTAACGCTTTTGAGAGGCTTATATCTCAGCAACCGCTGGACCGATTGGCCTGCGGTCTTTTTTTTTGTTGGCTAGCCCTATTCCCTCTACCCCGTAATTGACTACTCTTGATACATTACAGGGACCGTCGTGGCACGTGCCACGTGAAAAGTCAAGGGTGTTATTTGTCAAAAGTTGCAAAAGAAGTGATTTTGAGAGGCTCATCTCAGCAGCCGCTTGGGCGGTCTTGCGGTAAATTTTGTAGGGTAGCTGCACCCCTTCAACCAAAGGTCGGATGCTCTTGATCTATGTGAGTGACCCCCACTGCACGTGCAAAATGCAAAAAGAAGAGGTGCCGAATTTGTTCCCATTTCAATAACTCTGTAATTACTGGGGCGATTTAGCTGAAACTTGGCATACAGGTAGGCAGTAGGCACCCACCAGGCAATGCATTCCCATATGTTGCGGTTAGGGTGCTACTGCTTAGTGTATTATGTGTAAAATAAAGGACGCTTGAATCTTACCTGAGTGATGTCCATTTCTTGATCACTTTCATCTGTGGGTGACCGAGCAGCGACAGCAACCCAAGGCGTATACGGAATCTGTAAAAAATCAGCACACCGTTACCACATGTTTTAATAAAACTTACCTATAGGGAGGTAGCATAAAATACAGATCAAAACAATAACATACAAACATACAGATATTCGGTTAGGTTGAAATGGCTAAAAAATATAAAAAATAAGGGCAAGGTACTAGGGCTGTAAAGCTGTAAGGGCTCGGTACTAGTAATAATTTTTGGCTAAAAATATCACAAATAAAGACTCTGCACTAAAGCTGTAATGTCTGGTACTAGGAATAACTTTAGAGTGAAGTGTTACAAAAACAATATTCAAAGTCTTTTGATAACTTTGCAGGCATTTTCATCACTTTTAAAAAACAACTTACATTCTGATCCGGCACAGCACTGTTCTTTAGACGCAAACGTTTTTGACTGTGCTTATCATGGTGCGCACTTCTTGTTAAGTTTAAGTGGTCATGTGGTCTTGGCTCATTGGTCATGCCACACACCCTCATCCACTTTTCTCTGTACTTCTTTTTTTAGCGGGAACCTAAAAGTAAAAAAGGGTCAACACATGCTTAGTCCATGCAACACATACTCTGTGTATTAAGCTGAATAGCTCCACTGAGCCCAGTTTCACCAAGTGCAGTTAACTTAATTTTGGGGTAGTTTTTGTAGTTAAGTAGTGGGGTAGTTTGGTAGTTTACCCCAAATTGAGTTTACCGCACTTGGTGAAACTGGGCTCTGGTGAGTTTCCTTTTCTTGTCAGCACATAAGTGAAAGAAAACTGTGTAGACAAGAGATGAACCAAACCCCCATGGAAAGGTAGGTGTTACCACAACCAGGAAATGGGATTTGAAGGGCTGGATAAATGTGTCTGAGTTCTGCCTTTCAGCCAGACTGGAAAACATCCATACACTACGCCGGATGCCCGTGAGCCCCTCATGCGCCAAAATTTGAAGCAAGCAATTTTGAGCTGAAATTCCAGTGCATGATTTCCACTGAAAGTTGGGTGCCTGTTTGCACCAAAATTAAGCCACTTTTACATAAAGCACATGTGCATATCTACCAACCAAGGCTATATCAACCAGACAGATCGTTCCGGGGCCTCGGAGTCAGACGCTCTTCCCTTTCTGAGCGTCTGAATTAGTTAATGTTCCCATGAAAACCCAATACCACAATTTGTGTGGCACACTGTAGAATCTTAAGGTGAAACAAGGCCCAGGCCGGAAGTTCCGACTCTCTTCAGACCTGCCAGCGCCCGCAGGGCAAGTCTGCTGCTAGATTGACCACAGCGTGTCAAAAAATTCGGTGACAGCCATTTGCATAAACATTATGCGCCATGCGGTCACCCTGCGCCTAAAAATTCAGCTGCCACCATGCGCTGAATTTGACGCATGCAAAATTATGCTGGATGTGCGATGAAATTTTCGGGGCAACACCGCAATCACGCCACTTCGCATGACATATTCGGCATAACTTGCGTTTTTTTATCCAGTCTGGCATTTCAGTTGTGAAAGCCTGAACAGTTCAAAAGGGTTTGCTAATCCAGGGGAGAGTTCTGTGAAAACAAAAGTAATAGAAGAGCCATTGCAATAAATAAGAATTTAGGTACCTACCTAGGTACCTAGGTACTTACTTGTGCACAGTCACACGCATATCAGTCCCGACCCGACGTAGGTCGTTTGCTCCGCGGATCACGCACTTCTTCATCGTTATTATAGGTATTTGTTCGAACAAAAACGCCCTGATTTCGGATCAGATCCACGGTATAAAATATGGTATACTGCCTTGCGTAAGATAAAAATGCATTTTAGCAATTGGCTACCAAACGAGATGTCATCTGTTCAGGGCATAGCATAGGTTTATTTTCATAGACCTCATGAAAGTAGCTCATGAAACTCATCACCAATCAGCGCGACGGATTTCAAGATTCGATTGCGGATGTTCATCCGCCGGCCGATTGCCAGAACAGACAACGAAAAATAACGCAACTGCTCGTGGTCTGCTCGCTAGTACAGGGATCCGTGCCTGATCAGTACTGCTGCAAGCTGATTGGTTAAAAACCAAAGCCTCGCCGCGGGTGGCTGTATTGTCGGATAAGAACGCATTCCTGGGATAAGAACGCATTCCTGGCATATTGTCTTTTAAAATTGCCGATAACTACGAATGGAGGCCGAAATCGGCCGTAAGGAGGTAGACAGAGAGGTTTTCGGACACGGGCTACAAGATGGCTATCTCAGTTTCAATCCCCATGTTAAAGGTGGCCCTTTTCCTTTAAGGGACTCCTTTTTGTTAAGGGAGCCTTCTATTTGTCCAGGGGGCCTCCTATTCGTACAGAGAGCCTCTAGCTCCTACTTGTCCATGGAGCCTCCTATTTGTTCAAGAGGTCCCCTATTTGTTCAGGGGGCCTCCTATTTGTCCAAGGGACCTGTTATTTTTCTAGGGGGCCTCTTTGCCCAAGAGGCCTCCTATTTGTCCAGCGTGCCTCCTACATGTTCAGGGGGCCTCCTATTTGTCCAAGGGGCCTCCTATTGGTTAAAGTAGCCTCTTATTTTCCAAGCGGCCTCCTATTTATCCAGAGGGCTCCTATTTTTAGGGGGCCTCCTCTTTATCCAGGGGGCCTCCTTGTTCAGGGGGCCTCTTAATTGTCCAGGGGCCTCCTTTTGTGAAAGGGGCCTCCTATTTGTCCAGGGGGCCTCCTTTTGTGAAAGGGGCCTCCTTTTTGTCTAGGTCTAGGACCTTCTATTTGTCCAGGGGGCCTCCTATTTTTGCAGGGGCCTCCTATTTGTACAGAGGGCCTCCTACTTGTCCATGGGGCCTCCTATTTGTCCAGGGGCCTCCTTTTGTGAAAGGGGCCTCCTGTTTGTCTAGGTCTAGGACCTCCTATTTGTCCAGGGGGCCTCCTATTTTTGCAGGGGGCCTCCTATTTGTACAGAGGGCCTCCTACTTGTACATGGGGCTTACTATTTGTCTAGGGGCCTCTTATTTGTCTAGGGCCTCCTATTTGTCCAGGAGGCCTCCTACTTGTCCAGAGAGCCTTCTATTTCTCCAGGGGACTTCCTGTTTTCCGGGGGCCTCCTACTTGTTCAGGGGGCCTCCTACTTGTTCAGGGGGCCTCCTTGTTCAGGGGGCCTCCTACTTGTTCAGGGGGCCTCCTATTTGTCCAACAGGGCCTCCGATTTGTCCAAGGGGCCTCCTATTTAAACAGAGAACCTTTTATATGAATATCGGACCTCCGTTTGCAAAGTAGCTGATGCGTCTCGGGGGGCCTCCACTATTGGGGTCCCAAAATGACAATTGGGGTCCCAAATGTTCGCATTGGGGTCCCACATGGGACCTCGAAAGTATACAAAGTTACACCCATGAGATAAAGGCTATAAGGTATTTTTTTCACACAAAAAAAATCTTCTTCAACCTTTGGCAAAAATAAAACGAATTACCTATTGAAACGGCTACGGTTACAAACTCATGTGTTTTGGCGATAATTGTAATGTAAACGTCTAAGTCCAATGGCGTCATATATAATTTATTTTAACATAGAACTATATCATTGATGTTTTGGTGCGTCATATTCGTAACAAGGTATATAAAAACACTTCGATTCCTAACACTTTGATTCGTAATATTCATATAGCTCATATAGCTCATAGGCATGTGTGGTGGTCCCTCGCGGGCAACCAGCTTAATTTTTGTGAGGTGTATTGTATTGCTTTGTGTACCTATGACCCCGATCTAAAAGGATTCTAACTCAATTCCTTTATTTCAAATGTGTTGGTGGATGGAATGGGTTTGTTTTTCATTGTTATTGTTGAATTCTTTGGTGAATATTCTGAATCTTTTATAGTCAAGTTCAACTTTCAAATGCTAGCTGCCCTCAGATTGTTTTCAATATTATATCATTTTTATGCTGCTAATAATAAAATTTGATGATATTTCTGTTTATAGACATGTGATCATGTTGTGACCTGGAACTTTGTGTGCTGTCCACTGTCCAGCAGGAGTGATAGTCTGCATCCTCCAAGTAAAGAGGCAATATCAACCGTCCATCATGGGCTATGAAACAGCAAGATTTACTTCAGCTAACATAGACAAAGATCTCATGTGCCCAATCTGCATGTGTGTGCTGGAAAAGCCTGTGGAGGTGAGTGGCACTGACATTTTTATTATTATATTATTCATTCCTGTTACATCTTACTACATGTTTTGCCTACTCCAAAGTGAGATCAGAAGGGTATAGCAACACTGTTAGTGACTAACTAATGAGTAATGACCACACTACATTTTCACAGACACCATGTGAGCACAGTTTCTGCGAGGCATGCATCCTGCAGTGGCTGCAGACGAGACGCCGTTGTCCGCTGGACAACACAGTGGTGGGCACGAATCAGCTATGTGAGCCCAGCAGACTGCTCACCAATCAGCTGGGCAGGTAAGGCTTTATTGAAGACAGCACTGATCACTCATCAGTCATCAGCATGGCGTACTGCATAGTCATAGTATGCCTATTCCCTATCAATTTTATGAAAACTTGTCCATATGCTCATAAGATTTGACACAATGAAATAGACATCACCTTTGCCTTAGTATGTAGATGAATTTTATTTATGCAAGTTAGAAGTCACTTTATGTTGAGTGGAATTTAGGTTTGCATTGGCTTGTGAATTGAATTGACAACACATGTTTCCACAATAACGAGTGTTTCCTGACGGTCCAGACTGGAGATCGCGTGCGATTTTCGCGCCGAGGGCTGCACGGAGAGGGTGCCTCTGGAGTATCTGGCCGCGCACCGTCTGAAGTGTCCGCACAACCCTCGGCCGGGCCAGCAGCCGCGGACGGCCGACGCCCGCGCCGCCGTCCAGCCCAGACAGGGTACGTATAGTGTTTAAGCGTCATCGGAACAGGGAAATGGGCGAATTGTGGTGGTGAAACAGATGCCTACCGACCTAAAAATATTTGACGAGTGATCTTGACGGTCTGTAATCATAGTTGTGCATAGGTCTATGGTGTGATATATTTTTTGACTTCCATAACCCAACGTACTTAGTTTCAGTCGACTTGTCGATTGTCTGCGATAACCGTATTTACACATTCCATCCACCCTCATCAGTGCTTGGATCCAACTCCAGCCATTCCCTCTCCTCGCCTTTAACCCTATAACTCAGCCCTGTCACCGGGCTGGTCTCTCGCTCGTCACCAGTCGAGGTCTTCAGCTCACCACTCGCCACCCCCTCCCCAAGGCCGGCCTGCGTACCACGACCAGTACGAGGACGATGACATACCCTCCGGCCTGGAGGCTGGGCTGGCCGTCGGAGCCGTGGCAATGGTCGGTGCCGCCATCGGAGCCGTCGTCGGTGGCATCATCGGCTACAAACGCGGTAGGAACCGAACACACGACTGATGGACGAGTCACCCGACGGCAACTCTACCAGATGTGCTGCACATCAGAGGATGGTCTCAACTGATGTGATGCGATTGATGATTGTTACAGTGATGATGACACGCATGTCTTCGAACTTGCTTAATAATCACGATGGTAGAATTGATCGATTTCGGCCGGCGCGCCGAGGCGCGTTGCTGACGTTAGTGTCATAGGGTATATTTTTTATGGGTGCTTACTTACACTGAACAGCCAGACGTTAAGCAGCTGCATTGAAGTTTGTTGGATCCGATGCGGCTGCAAGCGTTATCTCTGTCGCGCATTCGGCAGACTATTGACTCCCCAGTGAGTGAAGCGTGGTGGGGTCGTAGATGGATTTGTACAAGCAACGTGGCCCGTGGTACTGTTGCTAGCTTATCGCTTATTCATGTTGTAGTTCATGGAATATAGAGCAAGGAGAGTTTATTTTGTAATGCTGAGTGTGTTCGCTAGCTAGCTGAACCAAACATTTCAGAGCTTTATGTCTTTCCTATGCTGGTTTTCTTTAGCGTTTAAGTAGTGTCCCCTAGCATATAATTCAATGATTGATGCGTTGCTTTGCTTGCAGTTATATACAGTGTGAATCGTGGTATGCTATTATCTATCGAAATAACTATATGATATTACATTGCTTGGTTAATAAGGCATTCACGCTAACGCGGCGATTCCTCCGGGATCCATTGCTTTCTTGTGCACCAGAAAGCACATTTTGTTGGTACGACACTGCGACTGTGTCGGAGCTAATTAATAGAACTAATAATTACCTCTTGCGTGAAAGGCGACTATATTGTGATCATACAAGCATGTACATAGGTAGGCAGACGCTGCGTAATACCGTAATACCTAATCCCAACTGCGACATTTCCTTCAATCCATGGGCTGCAGCGTAATCTTGGGCTGCAGGGCCCTGCAGACGGCCGGTAATGTCACACTGGTGTCATTGTCCCCGCCGTGGTACTCGCTGGTGTTATCGCAGGGGCTCCCTCCCCGCCGGGGCTTCCCTCCAGCTGCCCGACTAGTCAGCTGACAGGTGACGTCATCGATACGTCACACCGCGCAATGAGGGCCCTGTTTCACCGGTGATAGCAGCACGCCGATTTTACGACTTGTCAAATTGGGTTTCCATGGAGACATCAACAGGCCCATTGCTCCAACACTACCACAAGTGTGACGTCAGCTCGCGCAATTTGATAGCAGCGTGGTAGCAGCAGCCCGTGAAACACCGCCGAGGAGGCGTCGAATCGGTGTGTTCGATCGCGGTTCAGTGCCTGCATTATGGATGATAGGTGGTCGCGTGGCTCAAGCCACTACAGTGCTGCTCAGTGTCGTGTAATGGCCCTTTCACACGTAGCAACTTTTCAGTCGCCGGCGACAGCAGCAGTCGCCGGCGACCGCCAGCGACCGCCAGCCAACGATCGTGTGTGACGTAGGTATGACGTAAGCAAGTCGGTGGCGATCGCCGGGCCACGGCCGGGCAATCGCCAGCAACTGGTGACGTCAGATCCGCGTCACAGGCCAGTCGCCGGCGACTCTTCTCGAGCAGCGGACGCCGCCATGACAGTTTTGTCCTTGGTGAGTGGTTTAGGTGATTTGTGATGCATTTTTGGTTGGTGTGGCTACCTTAAATTTGTTGCACAGTAGCATAGGGATTATTATCTTGTAGTTTGCCTGTCGTGAAGCTGTTGTGACTTGAATTTAAGCTTGATTCGACAATATTGGAGGGTTTATGTCATTTGTGGCGCACTTGCCCATGATCACCCATGATTTTTATTTGTGATAAATATGCATTTTTTCATCAAAATTGAATATTTTAATGACATTGAAATTGACACTAGTTTCATAAGGTAATGAAAACTTGCTTGTTGTGTCACAAGAACATTGTTTACATTCAGTATCAGTGCCCTTGAGGACAAAGTGCCTACCTATCAGTCAGCTATTTGCCTACCTATTCGTGCGACACAAGGAAATATTTGATAGCAACAAAATATTATATTGCTGCTCATTAATTAGCATGATCAAAATCAAACAGGTAGCTTTGCAATTTTGTTATTGTTTCTGCTGGAGTTTTCCTTGGTACCATGGATAAACAACCCAGGCCAAACTTAATCCGCATTGGGTTCGCATGTGTGTGCGTGCTCACATGGCAAATGATAATCCATGGCTTATTAGTACATAAATAATTGCATTATGCACAGTAGGTGGTAGGTATGTCATGTATTTTGGCAAGGTATTAGGTGGTATGTATTTTGGCCCTGGAGCTGTTTCCTATTCATTGCAGCAATGCTGCCGGCATGGCTTATGTGTACCATGCGCACACAAGCTCCACCAATGTAAAAATGTCATTTTCACACAAAACTCATAATTGGAGGAAGGTAGAGCAGACCAAGAATAAGCGGGCATTTGCTGCAGTGTGGAAAAAGTCACTAGAGGCTTGATACTTTTTTACATGCAGCAGCCGAGATGTCCACAGAGGCATGCCTGAGGATGTCCACAGAGGTGGATCCAGGCAATAGTTTTTACAATCTTCTCCCCTTGTGCCCGCTGTGTGTTGTGCTGACTGCTTGTCCCCCTTCTGGTGGTGCCTAGACTTGCCTCTGCATATCTCCCTGCAGGCTGCTGCATAATGTCTAAAAAAACCCTCAAGCCTCTAGTGACTTTAATCACTCCAGTCTCTACAGCATATGGCCACTCATGCTACAGCTGCCTTAATAATACCAAAATTAGTAACAATGGTCTCATAACCATATTCAGTAGGAATTGAATTACCTAGAAAATTATATTAAAAAATACAATTGCTTTCAAAAAGAATGAGCACTGCTAAAATGCTATTATTTCAAATAATGCTAGGTTTCTGAACCACAAATTCCAATTCTGTGTCACTGAATACTGATTGCCAATTGTACAAGACAAAAAGCATCAACAATGCTACATCAAGGATAATGATGCTAAGATAGTTCTCATTTTAGCCTGAAGTGTAAAAACCAAACCTAACCTGATTTGGGTATTTGGGTAAACCAAGCCTAACCTGATTTGGGTATTTGGGTAGTTTTTATGATGCTAAGCAATAGCCTATTCCAGGCTTCCTAATTTGCAGAGCTTTTGGTTAAAAAATGATTTTTAAAAATGTATTTGAGGTATGTTCTGACATGTCCGCCCTCTGTGCCTGGCAGACAAGTCACAGCGTTACCTGATGAGTCAAGAGGTTCTGTACCTGATGTACCTGATCAAGAGTACCTGATGATTCTGCAACACCACCTGATGGCCAACTCGACGGCATTGCTGACCCGAAAAGGAGTCTAGCAGCTGAATGTTCAACTTCTGCCACTGCACTGTTGACTCTGCCTAGAGACAGCATCTGCACCACGGCCCACAGACGATCTTCCGTGGGACGGTGTGCTGCGCACCAGTCACCACACTGACGGCGTTCACCTGTGTGCTGCACAACTTTCTGTGAGGTCAGGAGATCGACACTGACGGCCCCGGACGGTGTGCTCTGATTGCGCCGAGTGTGCTCCCTCGTGTCCGGGCCTTGATGCCAATACCGCACGCGAGGCGGCGCGCGTCCGCCAAGCCCTCACATACTGCGTCCAAGGTGCAGGTGGTGTTCGGTGACAGTGTGCAGCTTCTGCCGGCCCCGTGGACGGCACCGCGTGTGACCATGGCATGTGCAGTCGATTTTCTGACATAAGTGCAGTGAATTCATTTGTCATTTTGCTTCTGAATGCTGTCGCCGCTCGGTAGGGTCGATTCTGCCAGAGTAAAGAGGTCGCCACGATCGGGGGCAAGGAGCAAGGCACTCAGCAATCAGCTGCCGGGAGGTGGCGGCGGCGGCGGCGGCTGACGACTCGGGCCTCGAAAATCCTGTCGTGTGCGTTGCTGGCTATTATGCGTTGTTGGTGTGCGCTGTTTTGCAAGGCCTTTGGAGCGGCATGTCGAGTTTTGAGTTTTGGACGAAGGAGCCTTGGTGTTTTGTTGGTCTATTTTCGATAAAAACGGTCATGAAGAGTGAGCTGTGTCCAGGCTGATTTTAAGATTTCTGTCACAGTATTGTCACCTTTTACCTTTGACCTAGGCTTGTGTCTTCTTGGGTATCGGCATATTGTGCCACCGTCCTTGCCCCGTGTCCGCGCGTGCTGCATTTTTATGTGGTTGCGCGTATGGTGTCATATACTGTCACCTCGCCATGTTTAGTGATATCCACTGTGTGGAAAAATGCATTTTGTTATAAGGGGGGGGGGGGGGTACACTTGTGTTCCCCAATCCAGCGCTTTAGATAATACAGCATCTGTTTTTGACATAATGAAAGCCTGTGTTTTATGTGGGTGGTAGGCTTCGCCGTTCCTCAGGTCCGTTTCTGGCATTTGAATTTCTGCTACATTTCTAGAATGCCTTTTTTCTGTTTTTCACATACAAAGCACGGTTCAAATGTGTGACCACAAATCACTGTGATTGTCCCATGCTTACCACCAACCATTCCTTCAATGCTAATGTCGTTACAGCGAAGTTATTCATTTATTGAGAACAGGGTTGTAGTTGAATAAACAAGACAGGTGAGCAAAATCTGCAGCACTCGTAATCTTGGCTGATGCGTTAGGAAAAATGGAGGAACTGCAAGTACACATCACTTTTCAGTTTTATGCTTGAGTGCATTGAATTCCAATGTAGAAGAATCGCAGTTTGATTGTATTTTCATTGATATTATGTATTGTTTCAATAATAGATCTAATAAATATTATTCCAATATTACCTAGACGGTAGTTATCATCCTGCAAAACACGTCCAAATATTTAGTACCTTGAATAATGCAGTAAAATAAGCTGCGCCGCTGCATGTATCAGCAGCGCAATATCTGGTGCCAACTCAAGGTCAAGCGGGTCACGTGACAGTTGAGCGGCGGCTGGCTAGAACAGTCGCCGGCGACTTCAAAATGTTGGAAAAATTGAACTTTCTCGGCAACGCCGACAACTCTTCAATGATTGGCTGACACGACTGCTACGTCACACCCCGGCGACTGGTCAGCTGATATCGACAACTGCGGAGTTGCCGGCGACTGACCCCGGTCGCTGGCGATCGCCGGCGACTGACCCGGTCGCTGGCGATCGCCGGCGACAGTTGCCGTCGCCGGCGACCGGAAAAGTTGCTACGTGTGAAAGGGCCATTATTGTTACCAAGTGTATGTGATATTTGAGACTTAAATAAATGGATATCGCTCTTTCTCTTTTGCTTCCTCTGTTACCTCGTCCTAAAAAACAAAGGAGTCAAAAATCAGCGCACTGTATTTAAAACAGACGCGATCGTGAGGTGCCCAATTTGACCTGGCTCAAAACAAATCGTCGCGCCATATCGATGAACAAGGGCACGCCTCGCTCAGCAGTTCTCACACGCGTCCAAACCCCGCCGTCTGACCACTTCTGTACAAAGTCCGCCACTTGGCACGCAGTAACACACACCACTGGACCTTGGTTTGGAACGCCGAGTCTGAGGGTTTGTAGCGCAGCCGCAAACTGCAGCGATATGCGATGCGAAGCCCGCCATTAGGCCGAATGACGATGCGTGCTCGACTGATTTCCAGGAAGTCCAAGTCGATAAACCTAAACTTACACGTATGTGTACAATGGCAATGGCTTT